GTTGTAAAGTTTTGCTCATTAAAAACATTAATGTATTTGAAGAGATTTTTGATTTAAATATGAAAAGTTAATATAAATGTTATAATAAATATTTTAGTGATTTTATGTTATTAAAAGTTGTAGTGTTTATTTTTCATATTTTTTATTATTCGTTGTATATATATCTTTTTTAATACAAATGTTATAATAGATGTTTTTGTATTTTAATGTTACTAAAAGTTGTAGTTCATATTTTTGCTCATACATTTTGTTACCCATTATATATAGATTATCATACGTTTGATAAATAATTTACATAATTTTAAACGGTTTTTAAAATTATCAAGAAATTGTATATATCACAATGACTTAAAAATTAAAACTATAATGATCATATTATATTATAAAGGAAACATTTTTCTTTCACTACATTCATTCAAACTCCAAACTTTTCATATTTCCATACAATATACTTAATTTATTAACTTAAATATGTTTTTAGTTGTAAATATTATCATAAATGGAAGAATTTGTGACTTATCAAAATGATATACTTAATTTGTTAACTTTAATATATACTTAAATAAATAACCTACATTAATATATCAAATAAGCTTAAAAATTTAGTGTAAAATTTAAAATCTAAAGTAAAATATCCAATAATGTTCAAGAAAATTCAATATATATTTTTTAATATAGTTAAAAGGAAAACATTAAATATAATAATAATAAAAGAACCTATATGGATGAATAGAATTAACTAAAAGTCTCTAAAAACTATATTCTAACAATATATTTATAACATGTGGTGCGCAACGCACGAGAATTCGTCTAGTATAATTATAAAGGAAACATTTTTGCTTTCACTACATTCATTTGAAACTCCCATGGTGATTTTACTCAAATCACATTCATTTGAAACCTCTTATTTGAATAAATACCACTTAAAAGTCTCTTAATAATTATTAACTATTCAAAGATTTTATAACTTATATAATATGTTTAATAAGCAATTAATGAATAGTCTATTATAAAAGGCCAATCACTTTGAATAAACACACAAATCCAATCACATACAAAATTCACAAAGAAAACAAGTCTAAAGGTGTTTGTGTTGGTTTGAGGGATTTGGACCATTATTCGAGCCATGTTATTATGTTAAAGTTTTTATTTTGTAAGTTTGTTATATACTAATTCTTTTTTTCTTGGTTTAATTATTCTTTTATGACAATCATTGTATGTTGTGGTTGAAATTTTAATGTAAATTAGATTAGATTCATTTTATCCATCATTTGTTATAGAATGTGATATAGATAATATTTAATTAAATATTGTATATGTGTTTGTTTGTTTGTGTGACTTTAAAGCAATAATTAACTAAAAATTATGGATATGTCATATTTTTCCTTTCTTCACATTCATTTGAAACTCACATGATGCATTTTACTTAAACCATATTCATTTGAAACATTTTATTTGAATGAATACCACTCAAAAGTCTCTTAATACTTATTAACCATTCAAAGGTTTTATAACTTATATAATATGTTTAATAAACGATTAATGAATAGTTTACTATGAAAGGCAAATCTCTTTGAGTAGACACACAAATACCAATCACACACAAAATTAACAAAGAAAACAAGTCTAAAAGTTTTTGTGTTGGTTTGAGGGTTTTGGACCATTTTTTGAGCCATGTTATCATGTTAGAATTTTTAATTTGTAAGTTTGTTATATACTATTTTTTGTTTTTTTTCTTCGTTTAAGTATTCTTTTAAGAAAATCATTGTATGTTGTGATTGAAGTTTTAATGAAAATTAGATCAGATTCGTGTTATTGATAATATTTAATTAAATATTGTATATATAGTTGTATGGTTAAATATTGTATATATAGTTGTATTTTTGAGTTGCTTCAAATCAATAATTAATTAAAAATCATGGATATGTCGTATTATCCATATTATCAATATAAGTCTGTTTCAAAATGCAAACTATCTATCTTATCATTTTATATTTTAGTATATGTTTAACATTTTAAGTATAATAATAAGTGTTTTTTAAAAGTTTTCTTTAACATAATAATAATAATAAATGGTTTTAAAATTAACGAACAATAGTTATGAATAATAAAATCAAATTATAAAAATCATGGATATGTCATATTATCCATGCAAGTCTCTTTTGAAATGCAAATTGTCAATCTTATCACTTTATTATTTAGTATATGTTTCATATTTGAATAATAATATTAAGTGTTTTTTAAAAGTCTTCTTTAACTTATTAATAAAAATAAGTGGTTTAAAATTAATGAATAATAATTTTAAATGATAATAACATTTAATTATAAATTAAATAACGTTAGCTATCAATAAACTGTATTTTAAATGAACATAATTGATGAAAATAGAAAATAATTGTGTAAGTAAAAATTTAAATTAATCAATCATAACAATTATTAAAAATAATAATAAATAAATAATTATATTTAATTATATTATCGAGGAATGTGGGTTGATGTCAATGAATACTATTGTTCAAAATAGTTGATGTCAATAACCTAACCATTATAAACATATAATTTTTCAATATTCTAATAATATATTTTTAAACAGCACCGTATATACTTATAAATGAAACATTTTTTTCTTTCACCATATTTATTTGAAACTCTCATGCATTTTTTCTTTCACCACATTCATTTGAAACTCCCATGACTTTTCGATTTCTTTTTAATAATAATTATAATTTCGTTAATTAGGTTAAATAGTTATCAAACCTAAACTAAAATCATATATAAACTAAATTTTAATATTAAAATAATATCGTTACTTCTACTTATAAATTTATGTTTTTTAACTGTTAACATATTATACTTAATTTATTAGTTTTAATATATTCTTGGATGTAAACTGTTATCATTTTAAAGATACAATTTTGGAACAATTTGTATAAAATACTTAAATTATTACTTTAAATATATAACATTACAGGGTCAACTTAAATATAAATTTTAATTTAATTGAAGCAACCCAAAGAATATTTTTTAATAATTAAAAGTGATATATTATAGTGTCTTTCTAATAATGATTATAAGTTAGTTAATAAACGTTAAATAAGTATCAAACCTAAAGTTTAATTATAAATAAACTAAATTTCAATTTTAAAATAATATATTTACTTCTACTTATAAAGTTATATCTTTATCTTTTATCATATTATACTTAATTTATTACACTTAATATGTTGTTATATATAAACCATTATCAGTTTAAAGCTACAACTTTTGAACAGTTTGGACAAAATACTTAAATGGTTAACTTAAATATAACATTACAATGTTAACTTGAATATAAATTTCAGTTTCACTTAAAAACAAACAATATTTTGTAAATAGTTCAAAGTGATAATTTGTAGTGATAAATGCAAAAACTAAATTGTAATCTCAATTTAACTAAAATATTTCCTAAAAATATTTTTATAATCCTTAAAAGTTTTCAAATAAGTAGATTAAAATAACTTACAATAACAATAGTTAAAAATAACTCAATATAAATGATTATATTGTTACCTTTAAAATAAAAAAATAATGTTTGATTTTTTAAATAATTATAATGATAGAAATTAAAACATTAAGCAAATAAATTTTAAAATTTTAATTAATAATAACAACAACTACAAATAACATTAAACAGTATACTATATTTAATTTTATTCATATGTAACTCACGAGTAGAAGTCATTTAAACGATTAAGATTATCAAGCTATAATAAATGTATATATTACCATATAATTTAAAATAATCAATATATTATATCAATTTAGTATACGAATTATTATATCAAATTTAACAATGACGTTATTATTATATTTTAAAAAACATATATTTGTAACGACTTCAACTATATAGATGTTTCTGCGTATTACAATGTCAACTTAAATATAAGTTTCAGTTCCACTTAAAAAATGAAAGAATATTTTTTAAATAGTTAAAAATAATAAACTGTGGTTATAAATGCAAAAAACTAACTTATAATCTCAATTTTAACAAAAATATTTGCTAAATTTTTTTTTATAATTGTTAAAAGTTTCCAAATAAGTAGTTTAAAGTAACTTACAATAACAATATTTAAAAATAACTATATATAAATGATTATATTGTTACCTTTATAATAAAAAAATATTGTTTGATGTTTTAAATAATTATAATGATAGAAAATAAAACATTATGCAAATAAATTTTAAAAAATTAATTAACAATAAAAACAAATATAAATAACATTAAACCATATATTTTATTTATTTTTATTCATGTGTAACTTGCGGGTAGAAGTCATTCAAACGATTGACATTATGAAGTTATAATAGATGTACATATTATCATATAATTTAAAAAAATCAATATATTATATCAATTTATTATACAAATTATTATATCAAATTTGACAACAACGTTATTGTTATATTTAAAAAAACATATATTTGTAAAAACATCAATCATATAGGTGTTTATCCGCAACGCACGAACATTCGCCTAGTAAGATAATAAAGCGAAGTTGTGAGCGGGTATATATATATATATATATATATATATATATATATATATATATATATATATATATATATATATATATATATATATATATATATATATATATATATATATATATATATATATATATATACAAGTCTACACCATATAGTATATGGTACTTGCAAATAGGTAGTGATATCTATTCTTCGTATAAATGGGATATGTCGTAAGGGGTATTGATAAAATAGCAATTGTAGGTGTTATATTACTTATGATTGTATGTCGTATTCTTCTTTTTTGGAATATATTGTTCTCCTTTCTTTCTGTTTACGGTCAATCTGAGAATATACAAACATATATTTCCTTTAGTGTATTGTTTCAAGCTTTCAACTTCCTAGAATATTTATATACCTCCTGATTGACCATTGAATCAATCCTAACATTAATAATTGAAAATGATTTATGAATAGGAAACAATATGTTTATTCCATTATTCATATATAGATAAAGATAAAATGCTCACATGGACTTCATATAAACAAACAATAGGAATTAGAGAGTGAGGATTATGTAAAAGCAACTCCCTTAGTCACAATGGTCCAATTTTTCCTTAGTAATATAAGCAATTTATGGTAACATAATAATCGATTCATTTCATATTGACGTACTATTAGGAATCCCCTTCCCCTTCAGTCCCTCTTCGCCAGTCGGGTATAATAGGGTAAATGGTACGTTCACCGGTCCAACCCTATTCTTCAACCTTTTGTCCTTGTTCATTTTCTCTATTTTATCCTCAATCTCTTTCATCTTCTTCCCAAATTTCTCGAATGCCTTCAAAGGTTCTTCATCCAGTGTCCACTCAGAGCACTCTCGTTGTCCAAGGTAAATCTCATCCGATGAATGCGTTGACAATAGCTCTACGAGTGCTATCCCAAGAAGTGATTGTAGGTGAGGAGTAATGGTTTTGAAGAAAACTTTTTCACGATTCTCTTTAAGTTCTTCATACTCGAGAGTATTTGGTTTAGGCATAAACCTACGACTTAGACTTGGACGATTAGGAAGATAGCCAGTATATGGATATTGCCCAAAATTTACAGATGCATGAAGAGCAGAAGCCACCCATATGAATGTGGTGCAAATGTTTATCAGTTCTTGACAAGAATCCATTTTAGGCCACCATGGTTCGTGTTTCTTGTCACCATGTCCTTCTTCTCGTAGTTCCTTCCACCATGATTGAAGCTCAGTGTCATTTTGAATTATATCATCGTTCTTATAGTAGAATTTACAGTAATCCTCAACCCAAGATTTGATAGCTGACCAAATCTCAAGTCCATCAACCGCATATGGATAATCATCAATTAGTAGACGAAGTCCATGTCGACAACCAGTGTCCACAACCGCTATTCCCCTATGTGATTATAAAATTTGCTAATAATTAATCCAGTTTATATAATAATTAAGTAACACATACATTGTATCTTGAAAGATTTAGTCTCAATTACTTAATTACCTATTGAGAAGATCCACTGGGAGTGCTTGTTCAGGGAATACCCAATCCTTATAAAACATTGAAGACATTTCCATAGAATATTTTCCAGGAAATGCTGTAGCTTCAAGGATACCTCCCCCGTTGATCAAGATTTGTCTAGCTATGGCATTTATATACATCGTATAGCGGAAATGAGGGTAAAGAAGCTTATAAACTGGGTGCATTACACTTAGTTGCCTATTTGCAGCAATCACAAATGGCTCAATAACAGCATGTGTATTCAACCTGTGATGTATAATCATATCGATACAGTTAGAAACTTTAAACATATAATATAAGCAATAATGAGTTTTCGTTAATGTACCAGTGGCTGATTAGTTGATGTATTCCTGAATCATTAATTGCCACATATGCTTTTGCTAACTGCCAAACTGAGCCTTCTATTCCATTTTCAGCTGGTGTGTATACATTGCTAATGGCACCATGCTTATCTCCATCAGGATGGGGTAAGCTTAACTCGATTGCTAATGGTTTTAAAGTTCCATCATTTTGTAGCAGTAGCAAAGTTCGTGAGGCATAAATCTTGTTTGTAGTTGTGTTTATTCGCCTCACGTGTGGCATCAATGAGTCATGATGATCCAGTATGAACATCCTATTTGCTTTTAATGCCTGTGTACCACAAAGATGATATTTTTTATGCTTGGTGACATTTTAATTATTATTACATTTTATTTAGGAATGGTATCATACCTCGTTTATTTGTAAACCATTTAGGTTTTTCTCGATATGGTGTGGTTTTATCGAACTATCTTGATTGCCATAAACATTGATGTCCAACTTGCTTTTTGGAGGGAATTCCTGATAAATTGGAATGATTATTCACATAAGTCCTACTGCGGTTTGTAGGATATATAAAAAAACAACCAAAGTACCACGTGCTTTTAATTAGAATACAAATATTACTTTTAAAAGACAAATTTTAATAGGGTTGACTCCTGCAAGCATTTCTCTTCCGAACTCTTCATCGGTTGTCCAAGCCGACTTGTCCTCTAGAAACAAATCATCCATATTTATTTATTGGCTTAGTAACATTCATTAAAAATATATTAAGAAGAATAAAGAATTTTTATGTCATGTGTCAAGTGAGATGTTGCAACGTTTTATTGATTCGAGATATTTAGAATAGGGTACCTTTGATGACTTGTGGTGTAGGAAATTTGGCAAGTTCATCACTATCTCTTTCAAGAAGTATTTTCTGCATTTCCAATGGAATGTTATTTTGAATTTGTTCAAGTAAAGGGCCATCAGGAAGCTTGAATCCTCCTTCATAAAGCTTGAAGAAATCTTCAAAAGTGTCGAACTCAGCATGGGTGTTGTCAAATAAAGCTTGAAACTCGGTAAAAAGAAAATGTATGATAACTTTTAGAGCATACGCAAGAAAATCAGAAAACTTTATGCGTCCAAATCGTTCATCTCTTGGAACATATGTGTTTAAGCCCATAACTAGAGGAAGCCTGCTCTCAGTTCTAGGATCTATTTAATGAATTAATGAAAATATTTTAATTAGATAACAAAACATGTATTTAACTTTAACTTATCTATAGCATATATATGTTCAGACCTGATTTTGTAGGTGGTCTTCCTGTTCTACCCCTACGAGGATATGGGTACTCTGAAGATCCTCCAAGAACTGGGCGTGCATCATCAAGGTCCTTATCGGGATTTCCCAAGTCATTATATAAAGCATAATCATACACCCTATCCCATTCTTGAAGCATACCACTTCCATCCCCTCGCAAGATTTCCAACTCTTCATCTCTATATGAACGTAGAAATTCAGGTGTCTCAAAAGGAAGATATGCCTGCAGTGTCAAATAAAGTCATAATAAAAACAAGTATTTAATTAAATTAAATATGTATGGAAGTAACATTAAGGTTAAGGAGATGAATCACATTAAACAAATATATTTTGAAAAATATAAATGAATGTTGACAATCGATCTACCTTATTATGGGAAGAAAATACGGTCCTTTTTGTAGCGTTTAGTAGGGTAAACCCACGAGTTACACACAAAATGAACATGTCCATGTCTAGGAACATCTTCAAGTGTAAATGTTTTGAGGTAAAATTCACTATGGTGATGATTTTGGATAACAAATGCTTGTGGCACTTCCGTATCTTCTTCCCATTCAAATGAAACTTTATATGACGATTCGTCATTTGTGAGAGGAGTAACAGTAGTAATCCAGTCTTCCAACATTGCTTGCTTCCCTACTTTGCCTCTCAAGTTCCTTTCTGTATGTAAATATAGTCCCTTTCACTTATATATATATATATATATATATATATATATATATATATATATATATATATATATATATATATTCATAAGAAGATAATTTTAACAGTAAAACTAATTTGTGTTATACTCTTAGCTAGATATAAATGATATTCTTTGTAAGCAGTGTTGTTATAGGTCTCGCAAGAGTTTTCTGTGTTTTAGGTTCAATAAAACACTAAAAGTAAATTGGATTATGTTAAAGAAAAAAGCAAAATGTATTTCTATTGTCATAAAAATAGGAAACATGCTTAGATTTAAAAATTAAAGCTACGGGTGTACAAGACTTAACCGATCCAATTACGGATTGATTGGACTGGATATTGAATTGTAATTGGTTTGGATCGGTTTCGAAAATCCAAAATCCAATTTGATTGCATCGGTTATTGGACCCTTTTAAATATCCAATATACAATTAGATATCCATAAATATCCAATTACAATCCAATATTACTATCCAATTAGAGGAAATTATAAATATAATCAATTCTCTTAATGATTTTGCATGTTTGAACCTTGGCCGTTGAAGTTGAAGACTTGAAGTGTTGTTAGTTTTCTATAGCATAATTTTGTGGAGTTTTCGTTTTAATTAGGATAATTATAATTGATTGTTATTAGGTAGAAAATAGATAACAACTGTTTAGATAATGGATAGTCAATCAAATATATCCCGATAAACCATTCAAATCTAATATCTAATTGGATGTGTTTGGTTTGGTCGGTTCCATATAATAGATTAAGGTTCCGTTTGATAGTTTCTGTCTGGGAAAGTGCTGTCTGGTAAAGTGTTGTATGGAAAAGTTTTCTAACTGGGAAAGAAATTATATTGTTTGATTGTACATCTGATTGACTGTACTGAATGATGAAAAAAGTAATAATAAAAAATAAAAAATAAATTTAAAAAAAGTTATTTTAAAAAATTAATAATCAAATAAAGAAAGAAAGAGACGGGGTTTGGTGTATACTTGTCTTTCCAGCACATTCAGCCAGAAATATATGATTTTGGGGCTTTCTATGAAAGACATATATTATCGGGAAAGACCTCTTCTTTTGTGCAAATCAAACAGTTTTTCCGATCCATTCAACCAGAAAGATCTCTTTGAATTTGGAAAGATGCGTATCAAACGGGGTGTAAATTAGATTGATTGACAAAATTGAACCTCCAATAGATAATTGGCTTGGATCGGTCTCGTTATAACTCACTGGATTTAAACCAATGAACACCCCTAAAAAGCAATTGAGCCCATTAACCCCCGATCCAAATCCAACCCAATAATTAACGGTTATGTTAGGATTTTCAAACTTAAAAACTTATACTAATTAATCATATCAAAAATTATATTATCAAATTAAAATTAAATCTTTTAATTTCAGAATTAAAAACTAATATACAATCTATACAAGTGTCATTGTTTCACTCGTTTAAAAAGTTATTTTTCCAAATACATAAAAGTGCATACGATAATTGCTGTTAGATTTAACCAGTAGGGAGCCACAATCGCTAATATCATATATGAGTCGCATGTACCTGTGGATTGATGTTTATGACTTGAGCTGATAAGTTGTAGAGTGACGTTTTTCCCCACAAGCTCATGAAGTCGATCCAAAGCGGATGAACTCAGATCGTTGATATCCAACTTGTTTTTCTTGACTAACACCACTTTCCCTATGATCATCTTCATTTTGTTCAATATTATGATGTAGGGTTCTTAGTTTTGTTTGATGAACAAAGCAAATGGTCAGTTATTTTGGAAGATAACTTTGATGTATGAATATTTATAGAGGTCACAGACTCTAGTTGCTATGAGTAGACAAGAGATATTTATGAGGATGTTAGGTATTTATTTTTTAGAACACATAGATTTCTATCAACATATAAGTGAATAAAGTGTATTTTAGCTTTATTTTTTTAACAAAAGAGGTCGTTGATATGGTGAAGGTTAAAGTCTGTGCTATTGGAACATATGTAAACAGACTTTGACAAACAGATTTAGAGACCGAAAAACTGCAATGGATACTGCTATACGTAATACCGTATCTCTGAAGAAATTTTTGACAGATTAGCGAAATTCATTTTTAATGGTGATGAGAATGGTTTGCTTGGATTGGGCTTATCCCTAAAACCAAAACCAACCTATGTATCTACGTTACATCTGATCAGTTTTTAAATTTTAAATATTTGTGTTTTTAAGTTTTATTAACAGTTTTGTCAAAAGAAAACATGCATAAGTTGCTGCTTCGCAGTGATTTTAACATTTAGCTGGAGAATTTCGAAATTCATCATCAACAAAGTACACTATAATTGTACCAAATTTCTTGTTAATTAATGAGGTTAGTTCATCTCGTTTCTTTGGATTAAAAGCAGGAAGAAAATTAGAAAAGTGGTCCTGAGATTAAGTGGTTAGAGCCTTAGAGTAGTTTTGTATCCCTCTTGGGTTTTTTAATATATTTTCAACAATTCCAAAAATAATATATATGAATGTAATTTAAACATTGATTTTAAACTATTTGGGTTTGACTAAACAAATCGTTACAGTTTCACATTATTCAAGTAAGGCCATGTTTGTTTGCCTCTTAATTGAAAAATTAAGAGGTAACCTCTTAAAAATTCACATATAGACCTTTTGGTAGCCTATTAATTTTTGTCTCTTAATTTTTTAATATCCTCTTTAAATTTCAGATATAGGGTGTGTTCGGCACGGAGCGTTTAGGAGCGTTTGCGAGCTTCTAACTTCTAGCTTTTAACAAAACGTTCCCTTTTGAACAGAAAGCACCGGTCTGCACTACAAGCTTCTAGCGTATAGTTTAAACAAAACGCTCCAAATCCAAATGTTACTTCATGTAGCGTTTAACAAAACGCTACAAGCTACAAGCTACCCGCCACCCACTACAAGCCACCGGCTACCAGCTAATTTTGCCGAACACCCCCATAAAGTGAAGTCTGAAAAAAAAAAAAAAAAAAAAGAGACTTTGTTCCTTTTTTACCCACCATTCCTTCTACTCACGTTTAGAATTCCGCCTTTGCCTCTTCTCTCGACGTGCACACTTTCCGCCTCCACCATCTGCCCTCCGGTCCGGTCACCACCACCAACCCCCTTTGCCTCCAACTTCGTCAAAACTCAGAGATAACAGCAAGAGGTAAGTTTTTTCTCAAAATCGGTTTTATGTAATCGATTTAAGAACCCTGATTCTTCCTCCCTTCGTTGCTTCCGTATTCCCTTCAACCATCGCCCTGGAGCAATCGATTTCATGATTTGATGTCTGGAGCAATCAATTTCGAGAAGTTGATTTGGTTTCAGATTTTATCCGACTGATGACGAATTGGTTCTTTATTACGTGAAGAGGAAGATCTGTGGTCGATCGCTCAAGCTCGGCATCATCGGTGTAGTTGATGCTTACAAGTGGGACCCAGAAGAGTTACGTGGTTCGTTTATGTGACAAACCGAAACTTTTTCCGTTTTCTGTTATGCATTTTCGTTAATGAAATTTCAGATCCGTTAACTTTCCGTCAAAATTTTGGTTTAATAAAATAATCTAGTTATGCTTAAATAAATTGTTTACGAGTCGAAACCAAAAATCGCGCACGAACCTGAAAATCTTGAAAATCAACATTTTTGGTCTAAAGGGGATTACGACCGTAAACTAGGTTTACGGCCGTAAACTCGTTTACGACCGTAAACTGGTTTACGATCGTAAACCCCGTTTACAACCGTAAACTCACAAAAACGCTTTTAGACTCCGGGAAACGTCGAAGAACACCTTTTGGAGCACTTTGGAGCGTCTGGAATCACTTCTCGTATCGAAATATGCATTCAAAACCTCGTTTTCCAAGTTTATGGTCCAAGCTTCAAAGACCGTAAACTCAGTCCTTGAGTTTACGGCAGTAAACTCAGCCAACTGCTGAAACCGTAAACTCATTTCAGAAACCGTAAACCCATCTTCAGAGACCATAAACTCGATTTCTAAGGCTGAAAACCCATTTCTTCGATTCAAGCAAGTCTCGGTAACATTCCTCAATTGAATTCAAGTGTTCTTATGACACTTTATTTATCGAAATTGCTAATTTAGATACATATACGTATTTATTTGATAATAGGATTTCGTTAAGAGTCACGTGCAACAACTCGGGAACCTTCTTTTCAGTCAACAACTCCACGCAACAACTGTGAGTTCATACCCCTACATTTTTCCGTATTTTTAAGGTTTTCAGGGGGGAATACAAGCTAAACATAAATGTTTTCTGAAATACACATAGAACTTGTGCAAGATTTCATACTTTATTTCGCTTTTGTACTATGTTGAGCACAAGAGACGTTTTCACAAAAATTTGCATAGTTTTTCCGGACACGTTATTCGCTACGTTATACATGCAAACTATAATCGGTATAGTTTGGGATTTCTCTAAAAACTTATCAAGCATAGAAACTTCTCTACTAAACCTATGCACTGGAACAGAAACCATTTACAGCTTAAATCACTGTTTAATCATGATTTTCATAACTGTAACTTATCACTATAAGCGATATACATTCGGATTGTCACTACGGTAGAACGCTACTGCATCACTTGTAAACTAGATTGTACGATACTGTGAGGCGCTACTTCACTACTGTACCCTTAGGTGTACAGGGATAAATCCTACAATTGTATACCCAGAGTCTCCTAGAGGGAGAGCGTGAGATTTGGAATAGATCTATTCGGGGACTGACAATCCCACATATGGACTGTTAGCTACAGTTTGGCGAGCACGCCTAAGACGTACAAACGTCGTTTAACGTCAACGCCTGAAGAACGTTGGAAAGGTCTCTAGTCATATCAAGCATGGTTATATGACTCACATTATGTATAAATCACTGATAGTTTACCAACCTGGTTTTCTTCAGTAGTTTTATTTATACCAAATAGAACTAAACACACTATGCATGCTGGCCAAGCCAGGGTTTTCAAAAACCGAATCATTTATGCTACGGTTTTACATTTAAATACGTATACGTCATGATTAGCTTTAGCTAGTCACACGAAGTAGTATTTTGCATATCTCTACGATTTTCAGAAACGAACATTCATGGTTGTATACGAAATCGATCACACTACGTTTTTCACTTAAAAAAATATTGGATTTTCTTGAAACTACATAATCATTTTGGCTCGCTCATCAACAACTTTTCATTACAATTTATGGCTTATGAAGTCACTAGCTTTATGCTGATATTTTTTCAAACTGCTTGTATTCTCAGGAAATCAGTAGGTACTTGCTAGATTTTCGAGGAACTGAAGCATTACGAGTTTTTAAGTTTTTACAATGCAAAACTATTGGATGTAATTCAAAGTAAGATGCAAACAGATGTACACATTTTATTCAAATATTCACTGTAATGGTTGTGTTGCTATGATTGTTGTTATTCATTGGTTGTGATGTTATATATGACGTCCTCCGCCCCGGAACGTTTCCGCCATCGGTTTCGGGGTGTGACAGATTGGTATCAGAGCCCATGTTTATAGCGAACTAGTATACCGAACCTTACATGGTATACAACTATAAACACTAAGGGGCCTAAGTGCTCTACGCTAAAAGTATACTTTCAAAATATAAGCATTTTTATAAGAAGTATACGTGCATGCATACATAACAGGATTCGTGTCACTAGTAGAACTGAACAAAAATATTTGGATGCTGGAACGCTACGGTTAAACCTGGTCAGTTATGTAATCATGTCTAGGGTGAATAAAGCCTGATCAACTATATTCATTCGAGACATAACTAACATGTGTTTAGGGGTGACTGTTGTGCTACAACAGGCCTAAAACTTACCAAAATCATCTTACATAAAATATTGTAGGAGTATTTTTGCTAGAGCCAAACTGAGAACGTGAATTCACTCTATGTATTACTACCGCTCCTTCCTTAAGCGATAACTTACTATGTTAGTAACCTTTATATGATTATCGCTCGGTAGAATACTTTCATTATCAGGATGAGATATATTTTGTTCTTATATATATATATATATATATATATATATATATATATATATATATATATATATATATATATATATATATATATCTTGAGGACTTACCATCCTCTTCTTCCTGATTGTTTCTAGAACAAGATGTCTCCCTGACCAAGACCCATCAGAATGAACAACGACACTCCGCCACCACCACTACCTCCTCAGTTCAACCCTGTCATGTTCCAGGCAGCAGTTACCACCGCCGTGACTACAGCAATGGCACAAGTAAACGTTGGAGGAGCTGGAGGTGGAACTGACCCGCAGAGACAAGATGGAAGTCAGGGACATCAGAAAAAGTGTTCCTACAAGGACTTCATGACTGCGACACCCAAGTCCTTCGATGGAAATGGAGGTGTCATTGCCTTGACTCGATGGTTCGAGAAGATCGAATCCATCTTCGAAATTTTCATCTATTCTGAAGCCAACAAGGTGAAGTTTGTCGCTTACACCTTTACTGACAGAGCCTTGACCTGGTGGAATGGTCGAGTCAAAACCTTAACCTTGCCAGTGGCTAATGCCATGGGTTGGGAAAGGCTTAAGGAGCTCATGCTAGTGGAGTATTGCCCGAGGGGCAAAGTGCAAAAGTTAGATCACGAACTCTGGAACTTGAAGATGAAGGGTTCCGACATCGCTGCCTACACTGCTAGATTCTGTGATCTGGCGCTTCTCTATCCGGGAATGGTCACCTCGGAAAGAAAGAAAATCGACAGGTACATATAGGGACTGA